ATTTTGCTTTGTTTTTTTTTTGTTTTGTTTTCTTTTTGGTATTCTCCCCTTTCCCCTTTGTATCTCCAGTGTCGACCACAGACTGGGTACACGATATCTGGTTAACGAGGGAAAAAGGAAAGAACCAGGGATGAGGAGGGAAGAAGGGGAGAAAGGAGAGGAGAAACGGTTGGATTCTTTGACAAAAGAAGAGGGAACTATGGCAGAATTTTTAGAGTTCCTTTCATGATAAGGACATTAAAATATTATATTTTTAAAGATTAATTGACTACTGAATGCCTTGGACTTATAAATTAAAAACGTAATTACTCTTATATTTAAGTCTTACAGAAATAATGCTGATAATTAATTAAACGTAACAGGAGCTTGGTGGTGTGAGGTGTGCATGGGCTCTGAGCAAGGGCTGCTTTTGAATGCTAATGATGGCAACTAGCGGCTGTATATCTTTGGGCATCCTTCCTTCCCTCATCTGTAAAATAAGTCTAACCATATAAAGTTGCTGTATTTTCTGAGAAAACAGGGTAAAACATTGAGCAGATGCTGAATATGCGGTCAATAATTTGATGGACCTTGATTGAGAAACATAGTTGCTAGGCTATCAACCAAAATCATAAACAGAAAATAATAAAGGTATTTAACTTAATAGTTTAATTTTAACTTAATTGCTTATGACTATCTATATAGTATATATATATATTTTATAATTATATTAATTATAAAATATATAACTACTTGAAAGAAGGCCTTAAACAGAGAGTCTGTAGAAAATTACTATTTCAAGATATTCCGGTTTTACATGATGATTTCAACCAACAAAAGAACCGAGGATAGTTAATTTCCTCATGGCCATAAAAAATTTACCTGATTTCCATTAAGAGAATCATTTCAAATCTGATTCAATCACAGTATATTTTAAGAAAGCTTTACAAGTGCTTCCATATAATCACTAGCCATATGTAAATGTTCTGGAATAATATAATTGGGAAACAAACAAACAAACACCTTCCCTTTGAAACACAAGGTCCTTGGTCTTAAATGTGTGAGGTGCTTCCAAGGTAAGTCCTGACCAGCGCTTGGCTAACTGTGGTTTGCTGGAGGTAGAATGTAGATTAGCATCGCACTCTGACAAGTGATGATCTCCTGATGGTGACATTCAGCTGTTGTCGATACTGTAAACATGTCTGCTCAATCTGTTTACATTCCCCTGAGCCAGCACTGCTTTCCTAATGCCTATGTTAATAGCAAGGTAGGACTGCAGTAACAAATGAATTTCATTTAGTCTACAGCTCAAAGCCTTGAGAGTAGTACCCAACTAAGGTTTAAAACCCAATTTCCATTTATTACAGGAAAATGAATGAGTTGGATTGAATGCATTGGACTTCTTTAAATATTAATTAGGATAATAAGCTAAAGGGCACAAAGGAAGAAAACATGAGGGTTGCCTTGCAAATATTTGCCAAAGACCTAACATCCTGTCATATTTTGCATTCATGCCCCTCCGCTCCTTTAAGAAACCATTTCCCCTTAAGGATAGAGAACAAACTGAGGGTAGATGCAGGGAGGCGGCTGGGGGGTGGGCTAAATGGATGGTGGGGATTAAGGACGGCACTTGTTATGATGAGCACTGGGTGTCATACATAAGTAATGAATCACTAAATTCTACGCCTGACACCAATATTACACTCCATGTTAACTAACTAGAATTTAAATTAAAATTTGGGGGAAAAAAAATGAAGTCATTCCCCTTGAAGTGGAACCCTATCTAAGAGTCAGGCTTATCCTTTTTTGTTTTATTTTATTTCTTTTAAAGATGATCATTTTCATATGGGGTTTTAACAATTTCAATATAAGTTCAAACAATAAACCTGCTTGAAATCAACCCTGGTGTTCAAATGACGTCCAAAGATAAGGTGGTGAGGATGGCCATTTATTTCTTGCACCAAAATGAAGATCTGCTTTGATTCCAGTATAATTACAGTTTAGTGGGTCAGTCTCCTCGTTGAAAATCTCACTCTGTTCATGCCTTCCTGGCTCCAATCTTCCCTCTGAGATGCTGGCTGCCTACTCGCACTGTTCTAATGTCCTGTCCACTATTGGATTTGATAAACATTTATGAAAGCTACAGGCAAGGTGAACAGTTCATATTATCAAGGTGTGTGTAGTCTGATAGTTAGAGCTGGTTATAAACAAAATTTATGATTAGGGAAATGCGCTGGGCTTCAAAGGTTGAGAAGCATCTACTAGAGACAGTAAAGGCCCAGTGAAAATGGGCTTGGCAGCCAGAAACATTGAGGTTTGAATCAAAGCTCCACACATTATTGCTGAGTGACTTTGGACAAATTACTGAACCTCTCTGAACCTCATTTATAATTATCTACCTTAGGTGATTGTTGTCAGGTTGAAGAAATGAAAGATCATAGGGAAAATATTTTATATAATGTAAGAAACATTTATAAGCACTTAGGAAAAGGCAGCAACTGTAAAGTAAAATAGTGAAGCTGTTAAAAATATATTGTACTGGGGTGCCACGGTTTGAATAGCATATTCTCCATTCACTAGCTAACTCAGGCAGATCAGCCAATCTGTGCCTCATTTCCTCATCTATATCATGGGAGTAACAATATCTATCTCATTAGAATTGTGAAGGAGACAAAATTGATTAATTCATATAAAACTCTTCATATAAACTACTTTATCATCATCATCTTTGTCATTATTATGGTTTCAGTCCCCCGTGTCACCTTTGCATCCTAAGGTTCTTTCTAGCCTCATAAAGTAGCCTCTCATCCCAGGTATCTATGACTCTTCCTGCCTCAAGCAGAAACCAAATTACTTGGTTCTTCGTCAACTTGCTTTACAAGCATTCAAGCAGCCTAATGGAATGCATAAATGGTTCTCAAAATATGTTCCTAAAAGTCTTTGAGATCCATGGAATATGATATCCCACCCCACCCAAACCCACAGTCCAGGGACCATCCAGAATCACACAAGTTGGAGACAGGGGGAAGACAGTTATCCTCAAATTGTTGTGTAAATGGGACAGCATTCTAAGATCGTGGTTTTTGTTTTGTTTTGTTTTGTTTTTAAGATTTTATTTATTTAGTTGACAGAGAAAGAGAGGGCACAGCAAGGGGAGTGGCAGGCCGAGGGAGAGGGAGAAGCAGGCTCCCAGCTGAGCAGGGAGCCCGATGTGGGGCTCGATCCCAGGACCCTGGGATCATGACCTGAGCTGAAGGCAGATGCTTAACCAACTGAGCCACCCAGGCGCCCCTAAGATTGTGGTTTTAAAAAAAGATTCTGAGAGTGGGGCACCTGGGTGTCTCAGTTGGTTGAGCATCCGACTCTTGGTTCTGGCTCTAATCATGATCTCGGGGTCATGGGATCAAGCCCTGAGTCAGGCTCCATGCTGAGTGCAGAGTCTGCTTGGGATTCTCTCCCTCTCCCTCTGCCCCTCCCTCTGCTCTCAATCTCTCCCCTTCTCTCTCTAAAATAAATAAATAAAATTAAGGGGAAAAAAGGATTCTTAGATTCTTTTTAAGTCCAAAATACCTTCTCTGTCCTTTAAACTATCAGTTTCATATAGAATAAGTCCTTGAGTTTATGTTTAAATTATTGTCCAAATATCTTAAATGGTAAAATAAGATTCCAAACCCTTCTGACATTCTCCTCACTGTATACCAAAGTGGAAAGAAGTAAGGTCATGGACATGCTCCCCTTCTCTGAGTGTGGTTTATTTTCTGCAGCACTTTCTGTTTCCCAGTCATGGACCTCAAGAGTCCATGAAGCCAAGACTTATCCTCCAAAAAGCCAACTAATACATTTGCACAGGTTGTTCCTGTGAATTAAAAGCTTTAGTTCAGCTTCACACTAAGATTCTGTTTTAATTGGCTTGGGATGGGAGCCAGTCAAGCACTGGTGTGCAGGAGCTCACTCCTCACAGCCAATTTGTGCGCATCTCTCCCCAACTCTGCATTCAGTGATCCCACTTTGGTAGCCGGAAATTAACCATGCTCCAAGTATTTACCCCATGGAAAGCTTCAAATGCTACAAATCAGAATTTTTTCCTGCTCAGATATCCAGCATATTAGCACCCCATTAAAATGTTTGTTTAGATTCCCTACAAGAAATTAATGCACAGCTAGCATTGAGAACTACTGCAAAGAAAGGAATATATCCAATGAATTAATTCTTCCGGAATCTGAGATGTCTGCAATTACATGGTAGCAGCCTCACTATCTGGTGCCGCTAACATGAAATATTTTATACACTCAGTGTGCGTCAAATACATATACATATATATATATATATGCACACACATATGTGTATGTATATATATATATAAGCTATAATTTAAATTGACTCAAATTTTTAATGTTAAGAGAGAGTTTCCTAATTTTTTAATTAGAAGTTGAATCATAGATTTTAGAACCATAGAATGTGAGTGCTGAAGGGAATTTAAGAAGCAATCTGGTCAACTCTTTCAGAATCCAAACAAAACACAACAAAAACCACTAAGATTATGGAAACCAAGACTCACTTCTACCTGCTACCCTATGTAAAGGTGGTGCTGGGATTTGAATATCTATCTGCTATTTCACCACCTGAATTTGCACATGGGTTTTATGGCTGGTTTGTTTAAAAAGGAAGAGAGAGAGAATGAGAGTTCTGTTATAACTTCTTTGTTCTAGTCCCGAGGGACCCATGACACAAGGCAACAACTCATACTTTCAAATGAAAATGTCAACACATAACCTGGGTGAAATAATTAAATAGCGTACATATTTCCATACCTCCTCATTTGAGGACAACAAATACTTGTGCTAAAATCATCTCTCATGGAAAGAACGCTTCCCTTCTCACAGGATGTTGAACAATTACCACAGATTAGAGACCCGCTATCACGGTTCCCTAAGCACGTAATCTTGTGCGCTGATGAAAAAAATAATACAGCACTGGTTGGTCTTTTCTCCCATAATAAAAAGAAGATGTAAACACCATACCCATGCAAGAAGCAACAGATTTCTTTTCACTGTTCCACAGTATCCTAACATTCCCACAATGATAAGGAAACAGCAAACAGCAATCATGACTGGATGGACGACAGGAAAATAAGTCAAGATGACAGCCTCCTCTACCCTGAAAGAACAATGATGTCATATTATACATAAAACATAACCAAAATACACCGAAGACACAGTACAAGACACAACTGAGATTCATGTTCCTAATCCTTTAAATCATCACGCCTCAAAGCGGATGACTGTGTAACTCTTTTCAAAATCACTGCGCTATCACCGATATGCTTGCTTGTCTTATTTTTGTTTTGTTTTGGTTAGTTTTTTATACAAGTGGTAGCATTTCTACCTCAACTCATTTAAAATCTCTTATAAGATAGGGGTCCCCAGTAAGAAGTCCATCCACTCTTAGCTCTGAAGCCTTACCCTGAGGGAAAGAAACAGGAATCTCCCTCTTCTCTGACCTGGCCAGCACCTTTTCTGCCGCCGACCGATCCTCCCCCAAAATGCAAAAGACTGCTGTGTAAAAGGAAATTGGTCTCTATTAAAAGAAAGAGGAAGGGAGGTGATTGCTGCTGGAAAACTATGAAAAAATCATTAACCAGAACCATACTAGTAAGAGTAATAGTAACAACAAAAATTAGCCCTTACTGTTTACTAAGCTCCACTGTGTTAAGGATTTCACAAAAATGCACCTCAGTTCATTCTCCAGACATTTTAGAGGGATGCATGTGGAGTCCCCATTCAGAGATAAAGAAATGGAGGCTGAGAGAAGTTAAAGTAATTTGCCCCTTGTGATATTAGTGGATCAACCTTTTGAAATTTGAGAGGAAAATGGCAATGCTGAATTTGGTTTTCCTTAGCTGAGGGATCTGAAGGTAAGCAGGCTGGCAGCAATCTTCTTATAGAAAAGTAGCTACGCTGTCCTTTACGCACAAATATGACACAGCGGCCACACTGTCCAGAGGACAGGCAACTGGTGTTACCATACCCAGAAATGTTCGCAAGGCAAGTGGCATACCTTAAAGAGAATGCTAGAAAATGCAAGTGTCTGTGATAAAGGATTGTGGAAGAGCACTATTATCTAAACCGCTGAGGGCAAAGTTACTTAGAAACTAGAGTCTAAGGAAACCTGATGAAAGAGCGCTATCATTAATTATAAAGCCTACCTTGTTTCTGCAGTTAAAGTCAGAACATTATTTAGGTAGTCCCTCATCCAAGCAGAAACTGCCAACACACTGATGGACATTAGCTGGAAAGAAAAAAAAATACAAATTGGTGATCAAGGATTTATGCAACATTCTCTGCAGGATTAATCATTAAAACAATTAAGGATTTTTTTTGTTACATAAGCATTATGCTTTTTCCCAGTTACCACTTAGAAATTCACTATTGTTATAAATATCTGCCATTTCATTTTGTAATCCTGTCATAGCCACTAAACAGAATGTCACCAAAGGAGGACACAGATAGCTAGACAATTAAATAGCTGATTCTAAGTTCAAGACAAGAATTGCACAAGATGAAGAGGCCATCGAATGACTAAATTATCAGATGTGAAAGATGAGCCTAAAACATGTCATTTATAATCAGCAAGGAAGCAATCAAATCCATACTACTGATGTTGCCAAGAAAGTGACAGGAGAAATTGCAAGGACTTCCACTGTCTAAAGGTCAAACAGTTTGAGCATCAAAATAATAGTGATAATAACAATAAATGCAATGATTTGAAATATCAAATATGCTAAAATCTGTGAATGGATAATAATACATAAAACTCACTTGTCACCTTTGTAGGATGGTGGATACTCAACTCATTATTCAGAAAACTGGTAAGAATCCAATTTTTTATCCTACCTTTCCTATACAAACTAAAGAAAGAGCCAAAGACTTCATGAAAGTTTTTATAGAATTTCTGCTAACACAGGCAGAAAGCATAAGAGTATCACTATTTACAACCCCTACTGAAATAAAGAATCCCTAGGCAAAGATCCTCAACGACTACCCAAATTATTAGGTCCGTAGTTCTCAGTCCTCCTGTGCATCAAAATCACCTAGGACTCCTTTAAAAAAAGCCAGAACCACCCTGGATCAATTCTTGAAAGTAGGGCCAAGGCATGAGAAATGTGTAAGACTACACAGATGTTCTCATGTGCAGTCAGGGCTGAGAACTGCATAGTGTGAAAGGCTAACTTCTAGAATGGGGAGATCAGGCTGAAGTAAAATACCAGCCCCCACCGATTAGTTTTAGTATCACAAGAAAAGATAATGTGTCCCCCCAACATGATGCAATCAGAAGTACACAGAGATCCCTTTGAAGTATTTTTTCCAAAATGTCAAACCTGCATCTAACCAAGCCTCCAGCTCTAATTATCAGTTTATAAAGAAATACAAGGAATAGATTTAAACTTGTTAAAGGCCCCCATGGGGATGCAATCAGCAAAATCGAGAATATGAAAAATATCACAGGCCAAATGATCTGGTTTCTTTAATTAAAAAAACTGGCCAAGTGGAAAAAAAGAGGGAAGGAGAAACTATTATAAATTAAAAGAAATTTAAGAGATTACCCAAATGCAATATGTTGACCTGGTTTGGATCCTGATTCAAACAAAAACAGCCACAGAGAGACCTTTATGAAATGACAGGGGATATTTTCACATGATTGGATACTTTGAAAACGTTAAGTTATTGTCTGAGATACGACAATGGTATGAAGATTTTTTAAAGTCTCCTTATATGTGTGTTTTAAATTGTCCATAATTAAAAAAAAACAACCAACTTTTTTTTAAAGCAACCTTATAGAACATGTTCAAAATGAGTCTTCCTGGGAAGCTTTACAAAAAGTTGAAGGTTAGCCCCTAAGTTCTGAAGGTCTTTCCTATTTAGATGGACAAGTGTGCCTTATACTTATCTTAAGAACTTAATTTGACTTTAATTTGATTTTTAATAATTTCTGGCATCTTAATGAACATCAATTACCATTATGCACTACAGATTTAGCTTTTAAATACTGAAATAATGAATATACAAGGTAGGACTGGGTCTATACTGACGCAGTGCTCATGAAAATGCTTTCTGGATAAAGGCTCCAAGGCAAACAGAACTGGCAGAGCTCTGTGGTCTCTCGTAGGGAAATATGGCTACCTGCTTAAAAATCAGGTAGTGAATTTGCTCATTCTTCATTCAGTGGCAAATATTTATTCAGCACCGGCTATCTGCCTCATACCGTCTGTACTAGATTTGGAGACCCGGCAATGAACAAGAGATGCTAGATCTCAGCCTTTGTGAAGCTTCTTGTGGGACACAAGGCAGATAATTACAAACTATAAAAAGTACCATGAAGCACAGAAAAATGAAGTAATCTGTTCAAGGTCTTATAGATCCTAAATGGCAGAGCAGAGATTCAAATCCAAGCCTTTGGTCTTTGGAGCTTTAGGCTTAGTCTCTAACTACCTTCCAAGTTTAGAAATGAGCATATTAATTTCCACAGGGAGGACACTAGCCTGCACAGCATGCAAGGTTCTTTTTTTAAAAGGGGAGGCATAGGCTGGGGGATAGTCTGTAGTGGCCAGGCTAAGTCTGAATGTCCTAACTATATTCTTTGGTGAACAGAGTCTCAGGGGTGAATGGCCTAAAACAGAGTAAAAATCCTGGGACCACAGTTCTGAGAAGAATAAGACTAGTTATTACTATTCTCATTTCTGGTGGGAATAAAAACGGATTATAAACCTAATAAAAGTTACCCAGTGGGTCAGCCACAGTTTATTAATCATGCTTCTAGCTTCTGAATTTGATGCTTTAACATCTGTTCTATATGTTCAAGCTGGACACACCTTGGTCTGAACAAACTGATAATATGCCTGAGCCAACTTGCCTTGGCTGCCTGCCGTCTACTCCCATTGGGAGGAGTCCTTCTCCCAGGTTCACACTTTTCATTTTCAACTACAAACCAACCAATCCAGACCCCACACACCAACCACCTCCTTTATTGCGTGCTCTCACCCTGGGCCACTCCACACCTGCCGTGATCACCCCAAGGTCTAGGTGCCAGACAACCAAGGATAGCCCCTGTACTCCAGAGGCTGCTGAAAGTATTTAAACTAGCCAATCCAAAACCTACTTCCTTTGTCTGGCCTGTTCCTTGTTGATGTAGCCACGGTAAAAGTACATGCCCAGTCCCTCTCTTTCTCTCTGCCTTGAGATGGACCCCAGTGCTTCCCCTCTTGGCCCTCGTGATGAGACATGTACTCTCTCTCTCTCTCTCTCTCTCGTGATCTGTGAGTATAATAAACTACCTTTTCAATGGCAGTCACCTGATCTGTTGGCTTCTCCATACCTAAATAATAATAGAACCTATTAAAATACACAGGGCTAGCAGGGGGCCCTGGACCACGTGATTAAATCTGAGCCTACACATTCTCCCTCTACTTGGCTGTATGTGGACCTTTAAATACCTTGTTAAGTTTCATGCGGGGGGGACGGGAATGTCTATTAATGTGATATTTTATTTAATTACCTCAAATTCTTGCACAATTATAAATAATTCTCTCCTTTCTTTATCATTCTTTAAAGTAATAACTGATCAGTAATAACTGATCTTAGTTTCTCCATCCTCTAATTTCTTATAGGCTGTTTAGCCAATTTTCAATATCATAGCTCTGAGACAGGTATCAATAAATTATCAGGTTCTTCATTTTGGTATAGTCTATTATCAGTGGTCATTTATACATTGTTCTTCTGTTTATAACAAGAAATGTGTAATTCTTTTAAGTGGTATATTCCAAAACACTTCTAGTAGCATAGAATGGCTAAGTGCATGAGCTTTGAGGTAATTCTTCCATTCAAAAAATATATATTGATCAACTGCTCTTGGCCAGGTCCTCTGAGATGTGCTGGAGATACACGGAGGATGGTATGGCAGTGACAGGCACCATCTCTAGTCTATGGTGAAATTTACTAAGAGGACACACATTAATCAACCCATCAAAGATATAAATGTGTAACTGGAAACGGTAGTAAGCACTGGGAAAGAATAACACAAGTTGCTCTAAGCCTCCTTTTTGTGGTGCCTGACCTATTCCATGGAGTCAAAGGGACTTCTCTCAGAGAGGAAGCTCTGAAGGGTAATTACCAAGTTCATTAGGGAAAGCATGGTTGAAAAAGTACATTCCAGTCGGAAAGAAAAGCAAAGATCCCAGGATGGAAGGCAGCAGGACATGTTCAAGGAAGGGAAACTGGCATGTGTTGAGAATGAAAAGCCAAGCAGGGACCAGATAACACAGTCTTAGAGGCCATTAAAGGCATATGGGCTTGGCCATAATGACTGTAAGAAACCACCAAATCCAAAAACCTTGGTTGCAATTCCACCTCTGCCCCTTTTTAGCTATATGGCTTTGGGTATCAGTGAATCCGTCCTAAGCCTGTTTCCTCACATACAAACTGTTATGATAATAAGCCTGACATCACAGAGGATTTATGTGATGAAAAGACAGAGTAGGGTTCTTCTATATATTACCTACTACTACTTCAAGTCTCTTTCGACCTCAGGGCTTTCTCTTAATCTTTCTCAGTCAGTTTAAGAGACAAGATGACTCCTAAATCAGTTCAGAAGAATCTTCAGATATTTGAAGGTCTAGTGAATGAATAAGGGATAAAGCTCTGTGATATAGCTACCTATTGCACTTGCATGGCCCTTCCCAGTTTTGACATCTCTGAAACTGAACTCATTTCCATTCCTCTCAAAACCTGCGTGTCCCTCCCACTGCATTTCCTATCTCGGTAAATGGCAGAATCAATGCCTCAATCACAGAAACTGGCAACTTGGCAGACAGCCTGAACCTCTCCCTCTTCCTCAGTCCTACATCTAATTACTTTCAAGTCCTCCAGATTGTTCCCGTACCACGGCTGGTGAATTCCTCCCCGCTTCCTGCCACTTCTGGCTAGTTCAGGCCCTCAGTCTCTTGCCAGGTAATTATAATCACCTTCTAACAAACTCTCCAGCTCACAGATTCCACCTCAGATTCACCCTTCAATAGCTTTAGGAAACACAGATGGAGTTCTTCTGCTTATACAGCTCCTCCAGCTGCCCCTAGAGTGCCTGCCCAGCTCTCTCTTTCACTACCCCCAACTTTCTCCTAGAGAGTCAAGTTCAAATGCTTCAGCAGGACACAGAGGCCCTCTTCAATCACCTTGAAGCTGTCTCCTCAGTCTGTTCCCTGCCAGCACGTTCTCATGCACATTCTGTACCCAGAT